CACAGATAATCTTCCCGAGTGAACATTTCTAGAAACATCGCCCGCTTAAATGGCAGCAGAAACGTATTTCACCGCTCCTTCCCCCAGACAATCGTTGACTGAGACAGCCTGCCCAGTTCTATTGTATCAATTAAAAATCATGACATTTTAAAAATTAATAGAGCTACGCATTTTTAAATAAACGGATGTAGTTTTACAAGACCGTATATTGATGTATATTTGTATTTTTTTTTAATATTCTTGCTGGTCTCTTTTTGCATACATACAAATTTCTTATTTTTGTCTGTTGCACTATTCCGAACTTGTTTGATCACGTTTCTTTTATAGTTAAAATAACGAAGCATAGTCTACAGATATTAAGGTTTTTACTTTTTATTGAGGACATACCGCGCAAAAGACAAGTGCGGACATAAAGAACACAGCACAACGCTGCATTCCTACTGCATTTCTTCCTGTCCTCGTAGGCAGTTTTCTCCGCACGGGTATATTAAACAATTACCAAATCTCTGAAGCTTCCATCTTTTATATATAGTTTGTTCCATAGAATAATTGATAATTAATTATAACGATATGTCGGCTTCAAAATTCTCATTCTTTATATATTTTGGATGAAGGACCTCTTCGTGCAATTCTTAGCAGAGTACGTACTTCGATTCGGCAACTTTGCTCAAAAACTTGGGAGACGCTTAAGCTTCGCTTTAAAAGGCCCCTGAAAAAAATGTGCGTTTTTAGACAGTCTCTTTAAAAAATAAACAGTTTTCAAAGAGCGAATAAAAATTTAGAGCAACATTGTCGGTGAGGGATTTATTTGAAATTGTGCGTGCAAAGTCCATGATGTCATGGAATGGTCATTCGCTCTTTCGACATCAACGAGATGGTCTTTCGTTTTTTCCACCTCAACGTAGGGTGAACACCCGTCCCGCGACTCGCGGGACTGTCCCGTATTGAGGGATCGTGTCCCGCGTGTAATGATTGAAATAAGGGTTGGCTTGCGTCAGTTCTACTAGAAAATGTGTTGTTCTTAGCGCACGTTTTTGTGGACAACTAAATTGAATCTAGGTACGTAGGATATGCATTTCCCCATGACCCTAAGCAATATGTCAGCTGACTGTGTACGAATGCGAATGCTGAAGGAAGGGCCCAGCAAATTGTGTTCGGAGGGGCCGAATCCCTATCCTTCATGGTGCTTTGTGGAGTTCCTCAAGATAGCGTGCTGGGCCCAACATTATTCCTGATCTACATTGACGATATTGCAGAAGTCTTAAATTCCACACCAATCATGTATGTCGATGACCTGTTCCTTCTTTAGCCTATATGCTCTGACAGCTCCCACCAAGCCCTTCAGGACGACCTCTACCAGTGCTTTCGCTGGTCGGCCGAAAACAAACTACCCTTTAACTGCTCTAAACGTGTTGCAATGACATTCACTGTCTCTTCCAAAACTACAAGCCAAGCCTCAAGCTTAACTCTGGGTGGCTCACCACTAAAGCACGTGCCATCCACAACCCTCCTTGGTGTTGTCCTAGACAACCGTCTCAACTCCCCCCCCCCCCCCCCCCCCCCCCCTTTCAGGTCCACAGCGCCACATCAAAAGCAAGACGTATGCTGGGCTTTGTCACTCGAGTCACATGAGGGATAACACTCAACACCTTCCGCCACCTTTACACTGCGCTGGTGCTGCCCCACCTAGAGTATTGCTCTGCGGTGTGGTACCTTCAGCAAAAATATCTCCAAACCACACTACAAGGCGTGCAACGGCGTGCCGCCTACACTTACTATCGCCGCAGTGTTTCCCCGCCGTCAGTCCCACTCCCCTACAGAGAAGTACCCTCTAGTGACCTTCTAAAGACTGCTGCCTAAGGGAGCCTGCACCAGCGACAGCAAGTAGCATCTGCCCGGCTGTTCTGCAAGATCATGGGACCACATTTATAACAAGAACTTTACGATGCCCTCAGAGTGAACAGAACAGGTAGACTCCACCCCGTGATGTCCCGAACATTACGGTACAGGGAGCCCTGCCTGCTGAGGGCAACTACACTTTGGTGAGGACTCCCCCCAGTTTCCTCTGATCCCCAAGAGACGAAGGCAGTAGCTCAGACTGTCTTGCGTGACCCCTCTAACAGTGTTTGAAACTTTTCCTCCTCTACTTCTAGCTTATTTACCTACTTCTTTTTTTTTTCTTCACCTTTTTGTACAAATTCATTAATGTTGTAAGAGTGCACGGGTCGGTGTTTGTAAGCACACTAGTTGTTTTTTCCCCAGCATTTTGTACAAATATGCAGGGTGTTTTTTCATTCTTACAATTTTGTTTACAGAAAGCCATGAAAGCTACACTTATGCGGTTTGTGCGAGTGAGTTATACGCCCAGAGGGACATATGTGGGTGGCAAATGTTTGCGATAAGTCGGCTAATTAATTAAAATTTGTTAATTAACTTTTTAATTAGTGAAAATAGACATATGGTTCCAATTAGAAACTTGCAGATCGTTATCGAAAATCACTAAATTAGTCATTTTCAGAAAGATTTTCAGCGCGTGAGAAGCGCCGTAGTGCATTAAAGTTACCACTCGTGGAGCACGTACGAGGCTAGCGGTTTCGGTAAGGCGCCCGCGCGATTTTTCCGTCTCTTATCTAGCCCCAGCCTTGTACCTGCCCCACGAGTGGTAACTTCAGCCCACTGTTGCGCTTTTCACGCGCTCACGATCTTTCTAAAAATGACTGATTTAGGGGTTTTAGACGACGCTCAGCAAATTTCTAATTGGAACCATATATCTATCTTCACTAATTAAAAAGTTAATTAACGAACTTTAACTAATTAGCTGACTTTTTGCCAAGATTAGCCACCCCCCTAGTGCCCCCCTGGGCGTATAACTCACTCGCACAAACCGAATAAGTGTAGCTTTCATGGCTTTTTTTTTGTAAACAGATCTGCAAGAAAAAAAAACAGCAAGAAAAAAACTAAAAACACCCGGTATATATGTTGTAAGAGTGCGCGGGTCGGTGGTTGTGGGCACACTAGTTGCATGGGCGTCAGCCTTCGCCCAACACCAGCACGTCTGTACGTTTCTGCCTAAAAAGTGCAATAAATGCTATGAATATCAATATCAAGACCGATGCGATGAGTCAGTCCAGCGAGGGCGCGCTCAAGAGCAGACGACCGGACATACCACTTCCGCGGAAGACGAAAAAAAAAAAAAAAAAGAGTGCACTGTTTTGCAGTATTACGTTCTCTCTCCGCAAAAAATTAACATTTTTTCTCATATCCTCGTTTGCTCTTATACGATCTACAGAATAATACACATTTGGTAAGAGCAGCGTTTGCAATCTCCACGAAATGTCACTTTTTCATTTGTCACATATGTAGTTCTGGTTGCCGCAACCCCGCTTCTCCCATTCCGTGCGATGACCTCGGTGTTTTCGATCTTTGATTGTTTTTTAATGAGGAAATCGGCCACGGGATCGTCGTGATTTAAATATTTCTAGGATGCTTAGAGCCCGCACCACAATTAGGCGATCTCAGAGGCCTCCTGAGGGCCCTTTAAGGACGAAGTAACATTTTCAAGACACATTTGTTCTACATCTCGAAAGCTTCACTAGTTGAAACTTTGCATTTTGTCATTTTAAATCTTCTTACTCTACATATAAGATTCCGTATTTTCGGAGTTTATTTTTCACCAAATTCAAAAAGCGTTTCCGAAGTTGTATTTTTTTTTTTTTTAGTTTTTGTTTATTTTTATTTTTCTTACATTTCTAATTCTCCGATATTTGGAGCTTAATTTTGCAGCGTTTTAGAGCGCAGCTCTTAGGCGCCCGTTTCCGGCTTGAGCGGCGTCGGCGTCGCCGTCGGCGTAACCGCGCGGTGCATTATGGGTAAATTTCCCTGCTAAATTTAGCGGAAAAATTTCCCCGCTAAATCTAGGGGAAAAATTTCCCCGCTAAATCTAGCGGAAAAATTTCCCCGCTAAATCTAGCGGAAAATTTCTCTGGGGGGTCACGCGACCCCCCCAGATCACGTGACCCCCCCCCCCCCCCCCCCTCAGTACCCTTCCCTACTCCTCCTCAAGAGCTGCGCTCTAATTCGGCGTTACAGGGAGTTGTAAACGGCTTTCACTTTTTTATATAAAAAAAGATCTGGGTGTAAACGTGAGATAGCTTCAAAAGAACGAGCTTGTATCAAATAATATGTGTTCAACTGGATTTGGCGTTGGCAATACTAACTTGTCCCACGACAAAAGTTCCAAACAATTGTTTCTTTAATAAACGTCGAAACCTTAAAATCTATAAACCCAAGGAGGTAGTCGCTAGGAAGCTTGTATTCATCCCATTCTATCCATCAACCTACCCCGCGGCTGCCGGGGGTAGTCTGGTAAAAGGTGTACTATAGAGACGGCAACTGCTCGCCTTTCTTTCCCTTCTATGAAATCTATGGTTCCAAGTTTTCGCTGTTAATAAAACACAACCCCCTGCTTCCTCTCAGAGCACTTCGGCCTAAACTGAAACAGTGGCTTTTTGTCGTGACCCGAAAGGTCTGTTGTCCTGATGAACCTTGACAAGATAAGAGGTAAGATTCCTTTTAACAATGGTCCAAGATTTGAAAGAAAACTGGGCTGACATTTTCTCAAGACCATTGGCCCTATGCACCGTCCAAACTTAATTGTAAAATACCGTCTTTTTTTTTTTTTTTTCATTGGTAGATCAAGTTTCGGAGTTTATCAAATAAATCTGAATTGACGAACATTTTACCGGTGGGTGTTTTGAGTTTTTCAGATTTATTCGAAAACACGGAACTCTACTCATATTCTACGAAAAGTCCTTTTCGCTTTCCCAGAGCCATGAGCCTTTCGCTATCCTACTTACCGGAGGAGGACAATCACTTTAAAATGATTGCATAAAAAAAAAAAAATGAAGCGACAACCCAAATTGCTATTCCAAGAATGGGAACAAACAAAACGGGGTGTTATTTGATCTGTAAATAAATGTGCAGTGGATACAGGTTATCCTCTACGACGAGGCTAACCGTTTATTCGCGCGACCTCCGGACTTTTGATTCGCCGGGACGTCGAGGTCGCTGAAACAAGGTGCGCACGCCAGCAACTTCTGAACAAAGCACGTGACGACCCGAGCTCCCGGCAAGGACAACTCAAAATGTACGAACAGCGCGTAATAAACCGCTCCGGAGAGAACCACAGCAATCATCACGCCGTACTGCATGTGCTGCACCGATCGCGCTAGGGGGCTGACCGACATCAACACGAGGAAAACCAGCCACAACACCGGAAACACTGTGGGTACCCTATAAGGCCTCAGAGCGTCTCTCATGGTAAACCGTAGCACGAAGAACGAGCAAACCAGGAGGACGTTGATACTGGAGTACAGGAACACCATGTTGGGGAGGAGGCGTTCAACGGAACCCGTGGAGGCGTACACTTGGGCCAGAAAGCTACGCAGCAGCAACGATGTCAGCGGAACGGACGAGTTGACGTTGATGGAACCAAAGATGGAGGGAAGATGGCCGCGTCTGGCTACGGCGAGGATGACCCTTGTGTTGCTGAAGAATCCGGCGCACAGGGCTCCGAACGTGCTGATGGTCACGGCAAGGGCAACAAGGACGGCTCCCGCCATGCCCCAGGTGGCGAAGGCGAAGGACACGGCGATGGCTTCGGAGCCGGCGACGGTGACGGGTCCGAGGACCGCGAAGTAGGCCACGTTGACCAGGAGGCTGAGAACTGTCACGATGGAGAGGCCGGCGACCAGTGCCAGTGGTATGCTTCGCCGCGGATCCTTCATTTCGCCGCCAATATTGACAATAGACTGCCTGCGGGCACAAATACCGGAGGTGTGAGATGCTTCGAGAACAAGGGAAAAGGCGGACGCTTCTTCCTTTGTTTCGGGTGAAACAAGGGAACAAGGGAACATTTTTCAGGTGAAATTAACGTAAGATTACAAACGAGACAGAAAAAAAAAACTCTCCTTGTGGTTTGCTTTTTTCTTTGCCTTTCTAGACTCCGTGTGCCGTTTGTGAATCATAATTTCTGTGCCAAAACTGCCAGACATACCGTATCCTTCACGTCAAAATCCTTGTGCTTCATTTAAATTAATCCCGACAATAGTTAAGAGCTCAGATTTCAAGCTGGCAGCTCTGGAAGAAGCCAACACTGCGTGGTAGCCTGTCCGAGCTTATATATGTAGGAGGCTTGGGTAGTCCTGTCTGTTTAGAAATTTTGAAGGCCGTGGGCCGAGTTAGCGAAAATCATAAATATTACTTAGTTCACCTCTATTACAAAGGTCCATGCATGCTTTAGATTAGACGAAGCAAGGAGCTCGGGCTCGTCGACTTCCCTATGCGTTGCTCTCGCTGGGTGCAGACTTTGAATGCGATCGAGACCTCAACTAAAAGTGATTCGTTAAGATTTTCATAAAAAATTCAAATAAAAAACAATTGAAAATTTATATGAATGTTCTCAATAAACACGCGAAAACAATATATAAGATCATACCATAACTTTTTACGATATGTATGATTTATATATGCTCTGCTATGTTTAAACTGGTCAAATAATATAAACACATTTCTCTTTTCATTAGGGAAGACTTTGCACTGTCTCGCTTATTTTTGTTGTACATACTCACAAAAAGTTACATACCACCCGGCGTATGATGTGTTGCATGCGTAAAACGCCACCACCATCTTTTCATACGTCGTGTCAGGGGTGAACATCGGAGCATCATTGAGGTGACTCGCTGGAGTAAGAAAGGTGAAGGTCGTTTGACGATCGTTTTGGTCGTTCGACGATGAAGCGTGGGCGAAATTATGAGCATAAAGCGCAACGAACGAGCTTACCACTGGAAGCGACGATAGCTCCGGTGACTATGATTGTGACTAAGATTAGACATTTGACGGTGGACAGCACTCCTTGAACCCTCGAGGACACCTTCACCGAAAAAGAGTTGATAGCAGTTGCCATACCTGTGGAACACAGTTAGGGTTTTACGATTGGTTAAGCAACAACATCTTTCGGAAAGCAAATGTCTACGAGCAATTTTTAATAAAGCGCTTTCAGTTAACACCGGATACATTTTAGCTGTATGTTGTAATTACAAACGTATTTCAATTTTATCCAAATTGAAACTGTGTACTTTACGTGACGGAAGGTCTCTTCGGGACGTTAAATATTTGCATATGTTCATTCTCGGCTCAGTAGACAGTTCGACAATCATCGGTTTATTAACCTTCTCATCCCTGTGAACAGAAATGCAATAGTCACTGAGATCTTAACCCATCACGAAGCTTCTTGCTTTGTGATTGGTTCCTTGGCGTTCTTATTGGATAATGCTGCCATCTCATTGGCTGCCATGCGATAATGAGATGTTCAACCACGCCCTGCCTTTCTCAAAGGCAGACGGACAACCAGAAAGATGGAAACTCCTATCCAGTCGAGAAAGAGAGAGAGCGTCCTCCTTTCTGCGGGCAGTAGCTCGGAGACCCGTTCCTGTGGGGAGAGGGGGAGGGAAGGGGGCGAGAGGGAATGAGGAGAAGAAAACTGGGAATCGGGTTTCTGCCCGGCGGAAGACGTTTCTGTAGGCCGGCCTCTAAGCTGTGGGTGGCTATAAAAGCGCCATTGTGTTTTTACCCAGAACATTATCGAGACTTGTCACCGGTTTGGCAAATCTAATATATTTTTTCACACGCACATTACAAACATCAATATTCTTTTCCCCGCAGATCTGTGTCTTTAGAAACCAGACTTTATGCATGGACTTAATTGATTTGTATGCAGGTCTCTAAGCTGTTGGTTAGCACGAGAAAAATAAACATGGGTCGATTGATTGATTGATGAATCGATTGACTGTCTGATTGGTTGGCTGGATGAGTCGATTGATCGATTAGCGCAGGGGTGGTTCTCAAATGGCGGTCCGCGAAGGAATTCGGGGGGTCCTTGAGGCCTTGCCTCATCAGTCAAACCCAGCAGTAAAAGTTGTATTTTCTTCAGATTGAGAAGAAATGTTCCAATTTTCGGGTGAGTTTCTTCGTGTGTATGTAAATGAGAGAAGTCTACTTCACACTAGCTCTTAGTTATATCCCCTTATTAAATAATTATCATAATTAACCTATACATTTCCCTTCCTCTCACCCATCAATACCGCCGACTCATACGGGGTCCGTGAAACATCAGTGGTTGAGAACCACTGGATTAGCGGTTGGAGCTTACACGTGAAAATGAGCGTCACAATCAGCCGCAGGACGTACGGAGCGCTGCACGTTGGGTACAGAATGCCAACCACATAGCTGGATATAGTCAGTGCGTGGAGCGTGGCGGTCATCGGGTCAGCGAGCATCACGTAGCTCCAGGCGTACATAAAGCGGATGAACTCTCCAGGCTTTCCCAGCGATTTGCTTGCCTCCGCAACGCAGGAATAGGCGCCGCCAGACACCGGAAGCATCGCGCCCAGTTCAGCGTAGCAGAGCCCTCCTGCACAACGCAAAATATCGCTGACGTTATACCTGCAGTGGTCCCTGTCTACACTACTGTCATCATCACAATACTTGATCACGGTTGCATGCGAAACGACGTGGTGTCTCTGGAATTCCGACAAATTTGATTGAATGGGGTTTTTAGATGTGGAAAAACAGCTGTAATGTAGAGGTGCGCGAGAAGTGTTTTGAATCGAATAGGAGCTACTTCATTCGTAGCTTTTGCACTGCTAAAGAAAGCCATGAGTCTCTTCATGGTGTTGAAGCTAAGCAGAGCGTAAGGTCGTCTGCTTCTTGCACAAAAGTGGTAATGATGTCAGAAAAAAAACTCTTATTGGTTGATTGAAAAAATAAATAGCGGATTATCCTCAAGGCATATTGGTTGATGTGACAAAAGCACGTGGGCTCATTTGGGGTTAGGGGGGGGGGGGGGGGGGTAAACAAACGCACGGGGGTGCGCACAAGGAGCACATGATGCCAAAAGAGAGCTGTATCTGAGAGGCGCCGCCTCGCAACGGAGTAGATATGCCGAAGGTTCACTCTCAGTTCTGGCAAACGAGGTGAGATGGCGCAGCATGACAGTCACCTCAGCAATCTTACACTTCATAAACTAGTAAAGTACAAAATTGCCACGCTGTTTCACAAGATAGTGACCACGAACAACCCATTTTCTATAACTATACTTCTTAAAGGTTTCCGTCAAACTAGAGCAAATTTGTATGGACACTTTAACCTTCGACAATGCCACAACGTTTACGGGGAAAGGCTAATTTAATTCTGTGGGACTAAGATCTGGAACGCCTTATCGAACGACTTTCGAAATTCGCATACTTTTAACAAAACACTGAAGCTATCTCCTCTTGTCTACTTAGATCATCTTTCATCCTCATCATCGTTTCTTTGATATTGGCAACCTATATTATCTTCTAATATTGTAGAAACAATATTATGAGTATTTTTGCTACTTTCTAATGACATATGCCTGTCGCTCTGTGTTCTTATGATATTTTGTTAATGAGCTCGAACTATACCTAGCGGCTATCGGTTCATATGCTTTTTCCAATACTTTGTATACGTTTTTCGGTCAATAAAATTGAATTGAATTGAATTGAATTGAGTTCGAGAAACCGTCCTTATTCGCTCACACGCTTTCAAAGGCCACGGGGCGCACAACCGCGCGTGGCGCTTGACCACGCCTGCGCGGAACCCCTAACCGACAGTGCCCCGCCGGGATATGCGCGAAGTCCGAGTGGAATTTCGTCCGGCCCTTCCTGGCCTTGCACCCTTGTTCCGACCCCTCTCTCTTCTTGCACCGTGGCTTGTATGTTAACGTTGCAGACAATTCAGAGAAAGTGCCTCTCATAAACTTACCAACCATGGCGAAGCATCCCGATATGCCCCATACCACAAGCGCCACGCCAACTGAACCAGCGTTTCTGTAGACGATACCGGGCGTTACGAATATCCCAGATCCTGCGAACACCACATTTCAGCAAAAGGGGATTAAATACACTTTGCAACAAGCAGTGTGCACCACCAATCCCTGCAGAAAAAAACAGTCCATCAAGAAGATTACTTGAATATTAGAACTCAATGATTCCCGGTTACAGATCTTTGTGACGTATTAGAAATCACTTGCAGAGACAAGCGGGGCTCATATATAGTCCGTGCCACACAAAGCCCGTGTCACACAAAGTCTGAGTGCAAGGGATGCGAAGATCTGATAGAGTCAATCAAGGAGCGCCATAAGTGCATCACAAACCGCGTCACAGGAGCAAGTTTAGGGAAGGGGGAAGCAACGCCTCCTCCCCACGAAACCTCCCGATGCCGACTTTTTTGTGAAAAAATTGGCTGCAGATATGCCTATTGTTGGTTGTCTATGAATTGCGATGGCATTGGTCATGTTTACCTCCTTTTTTGTTACCAGGCTATGGGCGACGTCAAGGATTGCATCTGAAACGACGCCGAGGACGACGTCCTTGAGGATGACGTTAAGAGAGACGTCTAGGACGACCTCAAGGTGAACCTCTAGGGCGGACTGAAGGGCGACCTGCTAAGACAATCTCTAGGACGACATCAAGGATGATGTCGAGGGCGACGTATTAGAGAACAACGTCAAAGATGGCGTCTAGGACAACCTCTAGAATGACCTTTAGGGCGATCTCAGGGACGACCTCAAGGACGACGTCAGGACCTCAAGGATAATCTCTCGGACGACGTCGAGGCCGACGTCAAGGTCGCCAGGTCCTTCGAAGAGGGTGTGAATGTGAAGGAGTGCGTACTGCCGCTCCGCATATGGAGGAAGAAAAGGGGTGCAAGCACAGTGGTCTGAAATGGTCCACTGAGCATACCTACTGCGCACTAGGCGGCTCGAAATCTCCACAAAATCGGGGAGAGGGGAGTGGGTTGCTAAAGAATGATTAAAAACAAAAAACAACGACAACGATAAACGTCGCCTGTGCTTGAGCTTGGTGTGAAACGGAGTAGAGACAAAAATCATTCAGGTAGCCCCATTTCTTAGTCATTCCACTCAGCTGAACCACATCTAAACTGCATGGTCTCTTTGAGCTATAGCAGCAGAAAAGAAACGGGCCTGAAGTAGACGTAGTTACTCAGACGTAAGCTGACCTTAACATTCACGATATGCATATGCCAGCAGGTATACGCGGTTTCGAATACCTTTTCGCACCTTGTCTGAAATGGTAAATCTCCATCCAAACGAAGTTATTGCTTTTTGTCGGCGACAATTATAAAAACATTTTGTTATAATTATCTGGATCTCGTACGTTGGATTGTTGGCTTTGATTATTGACTTTGTCCAAGACACCCAAACAAAGAGAACAAATTCGAATGCGCATCTTGTTATGGTAGAAAAAGAGTTATTAATTGGGATATTATTGACTAACATGTCAAAATATGGGACACGTTCAAAATTTGTTGATTTTATTAGAATGAAACACGACAAACAGATTACTCCTTATCGCCATAGCACATATATTTTTAAACACTTACTTTGTAAGATTAATTAATGCACCTGACCGTCGATTAATGCTGCAAATAGTATAAACGTGTCTGATTTAAAAAGAGGTGTATTTTAGTGTTGTTTAACTTTAACAAGCTTAACCACCTGCCTTGGCTTCCTGTCTTTAAACAAATTAATCAATAAATACATAAACAGATGAATAAATAACCAAGATTATTACACTGGGAAAATGCATAGATATGAGAACAAACCCGCCTAAGGACATTTTTTAATTTCTTTTCATTTCGATTTTTGGCCACAGCTAGTGTAGAAGATAATTATTTAGGTAACTTTGATCTAAATGGGCCTCTTAAAATAAATGTAGTTCTTTATTTAAATTTTGTTGGCTAGTAGCAATAATGAGGCTAGGCAACGGTTCGTTCAAGTATCAGTTTTAGATGACGCTCAATTTGATATTTGAATTAGGCGCAATAGGGATATTTGAAGATACTAAAAAGCGTTCGAATTGACTGTAAGGGGAAAAACAACAAAAGAAAACAACAAGACAATGTTCTTGTGAGATACAGAACTGTATTTTCGCTGAGTGTGTCCTGGCATCGAAAACACACTTGTGCCAAATGCTGAAAATTCAAAACGAAAGGATGGGACTAGGATGCGATTAAGAGTACTGTGTTTTCTGTGGTTCATTCTATGGTAATGTTATCAAAATACGCAGAATAACACACCGCGATATCAGAAATAATCTATTTTCCAGTTTTCCAGTCTTGGAAGCCTGGAAGCAGTCACTAAAATCTATCGAGTAGTGCCTAATCTGGTCGAAGTTTAAAATATCGTATTGGTATTATTATAAGTTTTTTAAATCAGCTAAGACATTGACACTAGAATGAATGAGTGAATGAATGAATGAATAAATGAATTAATTAATTATCTATTTAATTAATTCGGGAATTACGATACCTGCGGCAGCACCAACGAGAAGTGAAATAGTGCCGAGTAGCCCAACTTCTCTTCTCAGGAACGCCTTAGATCCCCTGAAGGTTGGAGTCTTCGGGTCAAAGCCATCAGGATCGCTTTCAAAACCAGATGTTGAGGACGAAGGTGCGGACTCATCACAATCAGGTGCTCTCATGTCCGGAAATGCCCTGAACTAGAGTCCTGCTATAAATTGTTGAGTCAAGATATAGCCTAATTATAACATGATTCCCGCAATATAGAGCTCACTCCAGATACGCAGACCGTTGTTCAGAGATAACCCCATGCTTGCAGTTATACAACAATCATGTATGAAACAGCGACGTAATTATTACTATTCTAAACATCATGCATCTTTAAAAAGGCACCACAAAAGTAAATCTCTTAGAGAAGAATCGAACCATTGTGAACTTTACGAGTCTCAATATGCGATCAAAAATAAAATATCTTTCAGAGAACCATCGAACTGTTGTGAACACTAGGCGCCCTCAACAGGTCATCACAACATTAAATTTCTTCTTCGGAAGCACCGTTCCTACAAAAATGTGCAAGCTACATTTCTCTATAGTTAAACGTGAGCGCGTTGGTTTTGATGACTTATTACAGAAAGAATAAAAAAAGGGGACATTGAGTCCCAGCATCCCTTTCTCCGCCATAGAGGCGCATGTTCTTCGTGTGAGCCCCGGTTTCACAACGCGCGGATCCTGGGCTCACATAGAGACCGCTACGGACGCGAGATAATTGAAGCATACGCCATGCAGCAGGCATCTCAAAACATTTCGTCTCCCTCGCTTGTCCTTTCCGAGAGGGAGGCGGCTTATTTGCGCCCCCAACTTGCGGCCTTGACGCGGGCCCGGGGGGCCCTTGCTCCCTGACAGTGCGGTGATGCGGCGCCGCTCTGTGTCTCGAGATGACCCCTCTTCTCCTTCCCCTCCTCCTAATCTTAACGGGCTAACAACTTCCCGACTTTCTCATGCCGACCCCCCCTTCTTGTCCCACTGGGCTAACAATTCCTCGCTCCTCCGCTGCCCCGATTCTCTCTCCCCCTCTCCCTCCCTTGTTTCGCTTTCTCTTTCCTTCCCCCCTTTTACTCCTTTCCCTCTTCCCTCTCCCTCCCTTCTGTCACTTGTCCTTTCCTTCCCCCCCTTTTTTTCTCTAGGTTCACCGATCTCGATGCCAACTTCTAATAAAGAACGCTACATGTTGTTGAAAGTCGAAAGATGTCCGTCCTTCTCCGTCCTTTCTGTTTATTCTTTCTGTAATAAGTCTACATTTCTCAATTACTTAAATATCTCCATAACCGCTCAGCAGGTCTGAAGTTGAGATTCGTTAAACAGTGGGTTTGAAAAGCTTAGAACTTTAGAAACAGCAGAGTAGCATAGGGCAAGTATACTGTTTCCACAGAAACAGCGCAGCTGTGTTTAAAAAGGTAGATTTTTTTTTTTGCATGCTGTTTAACAAGGCCATAAAAATATACACAAACAAAATAGTTTTCAGAAAAATGCAAAAATAACAGAAATTTCGCACCGGAAAAAACAACAGAATCTGTCTTTTGAAAACAAGCGACGCCTTCAATTTCGAGCGTAATCTGGCGCAAGGTGAGATGGCGAATATAGAAATTAAGCGTTGCATCTGGTTTGTCTCTATTCTATTGATCAAGTTAATATAATTTAAATACGTTCTGTTGGTGGTTGTCAGGGTTACGTTTGTGGCTAATGAACATCCTTTGGAGCACCAAGATGTTTAGCACAGTGACATGCGTTATTTTAATGAGTTCTTTATAGCTTAATCTATTTTACGAGAAACCCCTTTGATGTTAACATTCATTCATAATATTGTCACCCCAGAAGGAATATAGCCCCCTCGTGGAAGTGCGCCACCTGAATATTGAGCCAGCATCATTGGTATCTATCTTGAAAACAATGCATGTGTGCTACCGAAGTCTCTTGCAATCGTGTCGTAAAGTAATGTTTTGTAAACTTGAGGAGTATACGTTTTAAAACGTTGAAAGTTGTAAAGAGTCGGTTCTCAACAACGTTTTTTATTTCCTTCTTACACCAAATAATACGAGGTGCCTCTAAAAATACACATTGACTTTTTTTTTTTAAATTGGAAAAAATGAATTACGCAATGTCGAACACTCAGTTTCCGCCAAAATGTAGCTCTGGTGCATGAATTTTCAGAACGAACTCATATTTTGTTCAGAAATTACTATAAGTGATTTTCAAAACTTTTTAACGCTAAAATGATGGCCGACAGCGTCCAGGAATACTTGGGGCTGAATGTACTTCTTCCATTTCTTCGCTAAAAAACTAACCAAGGTTAAATCCTGTTTCATCTCGCCGCGCGTATAGATCATCAACATAAAGTCGGAATTCCTTATTGCATTACCTCAGCCTATTATAACTCTTTTATTCCAAGAACATCTTCAGAGTGGAATCGCCTTCCCGTGCAATTAGTAAACATACCGTCTTTTGACTCGTTTAAAAGTGCGGTGACTGCTTACTTATGTTAATATTTTTCTTTGTTTGTTTGCCTTGTTCTATAAATTTCCTAACTTGTTAACACATTTTTTTAAACATTTTTAGTGCGTAACAATATAGTGCCAAATTTGTCTTGTACCACTCCCCTCTGTAATGCCCCAGGGCTTTGAGGGTACTGATATAAATAAATAAATAAATGTCGCAAATAACCGAGAAAAATATTACTTTTCCCCTTTAATGTATCCGCGTTTTACCAAAACACCGACTTCTATGCGAAAACGAATGGAACAAATGGCGGTACTGGCACACGAACGTATTGGCAAAGTCCGCACCAAAAATGAAACGGGGTTTAGCGAAACCGGTCTATTTGCAACTACAATTACCTGCATTTAATCCCCTTTCCTCTGCTTCACATTCCGGCCGGTAGGCCGCGCAAGTTTTTGTTGCACACTCGAATAGGCACTATATTCTTTTCTCTTTTATGCGTCACGTTCTTTTTTTTCCTCTGTTGGCCGGCGTCGCCTTCTTCGGAGTTGCGAATATAGAGACCGCTCTATACTCTGTTTCACCTTATGATGTACCGCAGGAAAGGCTACAAGCGCGAGCTCCTTGCTCTGGGGCACATCTCGGCGGCACAAGCTCTCGTGCGTTTAGAGCAGCTCCCAACGCTATGAGCTCGCGCTTCTGGCCTTGTCTGCGGTGCAACATAAGGTGAAACGGAGTATAGCAAAGAGCTTCTGGTTGGTGCCACCTGGAACATCCGTGCGTATGGCGCGTGCATTGCTCGCTTTCCAAAGCGACAAACACGCGCGTGCTGGGCTGCGGAGAGTGCACGCTGGGCTGTAGATTTCTAATGCCCGACTCACATGGTGCGATTTTTGCTTGCAAATTCGCAGCTGCGTTGTCGGGCACTGCGGCTTGTGCTTCGCTTTTTATCAGTGCCGCACGAGCGACGTCGTAATTACAAAGTCGCAGGTAAAACCCAATACGGGTGTGCAGGTGACCGCCCCCCTTTTACGATGAATTAATTATCAGCAATCGCATCCATCACCCAACACATCGAGAATATCGCGTCATTATATCGACAAAACCTATCCAACAATGCTTACCTTTTGTGTAAGCAGTCCTTCACGTTCTCACAGTCCTGAAGCTTGACGCGTTCTATTCCGTGAAGAAAAACAAGCCAGGAAACCGATTTCTAATCAAAAGCCAGAAAAGAAAAAACGATATATACTAAAAGTTTCTCTCTGCATCACAGATTTGCAAAGGTAACGATGAACAGTCTACGCTAAGTTTCCATGGATTTTTGTTTAGTTATATTTCTGAAAAAAGCATAAAACATACATTGTAGCTGTCTTCTTACATGCTCGATTATTTGTTTTTCTTTTGTAAAGCAGGTGGCGACGGCATAGCCCATGTTGAACGCACATGAGCACACAGGCCGGAAATATCTGCAAATGTAAAAGAGAAAACATATAAACTATTTTTTTTTACGGGCTGGTGGTGATGCTAGTCCCGACCGACAGAAAAGCAGCTGGAACTGTCGGCATTGGGGCGACGCACTACATACATCTATACATACATGTGAGTCAAAGAGATCGCTGGGCCTTTGAAGGGTAGCTGAAACAGCCCGACAAAGAATCCTTCTTGTTGGTTTTGTGTTTATTCAGTGTGTTCCATTACTCAAAACAACAAACTCACGCACTACACCGTAAAGCCCGTGCCGCATTTGACTCAAAAACATTGTCTGCTATCGGAGATCAGTCAGCGCTAGCCTGCTCCACTGATCTCTGCCTCTGTCTGTCGGATGTTGCACCAATCAGAAACCTTTTCTTAGCAGATGCAATAGGTAGTGAATTTAGGCTATTTATTTCGTACTCCCTGAGGCTGAACTCCATGGAGCGAATTATGCGACGAATAACTGACGAACGCCGCCCGACGGCAAGTTCGCTTTGCGCGCGACATAGCAGCCACTGTGGTGATTCCACGCGCAGATCAGAAGCCGCCGGGCGAAATTCGCCGATTTTTCGCAGCATATTCGTCCCATGGAGTTCAGCCTTTACTTAAGTAAATTCATTCTTTGAAACTGATGCACAAAGTGCACAATCTTCGGCCACCTCTGTACAAAATCATAGCTCAATACGGTAAAGGAACACTGACAGGGTGTTTATGCTCCCCAAGGTTTTTATTTGTGCATGACATATGAGAGCCCAACTTCACAGAACACAATTTGCGGCTCGAAATTCGTTTTCTTTCTGCCAGAAACCGCCGATCGAGAACTGACGAGTTTGAGCGGTGTTGGTTAGAGTCACGCTCACTCTCTTCTCCGTGGTCACGTGCCGTTTTTTATGGTTTAGACACAACCACCAAATATAATCAAAGTCGTGGGTCATCCAATGCACACACTCAATGTTGAAAAAAATGATACCCATTTTTCTTTGTGGCTTTTAAAGTTTGGAATACATTTTAGCGCTCAAAAAACAGGGACAAAGAGGCGAGAAACAGACAGCACAGCTCGCCTCTTTGTCCCTGTTTTTTGAGCGCTAAAATGTATACCAAATTCCAAAACCAACTAGCCCAGCAATCGACTCGGCTTTTAAAGAACTGCAAATACATTGATTGAAAAAAAAAAAATAAAAGTTTCACAGCCATGTGATTTTCGGCAACCCTCTCC